GTATGCTTTGATGACATCAGTCAGAGAGTGCTCAGGAGTATGCTTTGATGACATCAGTCAGAGAGTGCTCAGGAGTATGCTTTGATGACATCAGTGCTGGAGAACCTCCAGAGCTCTGAGAACTGCGTTAGTTCCTTCTGAGGGTAGTCTGCCAACCTCTAGCCAGCTCATGAACCCGAGGGGACACACCAGGTCCAAATGGTGGAACAGCCACACAGAAGTCTGCTCAGCTGAGGACAGTGGTGGCTTGGAGGAGGAGGAGGAAGAGGTGATAATGAATGAGAGGACACAGGACCCAAGACCCCGCTGTGGGAACTGAGCCCCTCCTTATTGGGTGAGGCCAACAGGGCCTCCTCTCCTCCCAGCCATGGCAGCCTGGAGTCCAGACGGGCCTGTGCATACATCTGCCGGAACTCCCAGCCATGGCAGCCTGGAGTCCAGACGGGCCTGGGCACACTTCTGCCGGGACCACTCATTTGGAAGATGCTGGGCATCTCAAGGTGGGCGGGCCCCGCTTCTCCCTTGCCTTCGCACTTCAGTTTGGAAAGCCTTGTTTCTGAAGTAGCGGTGGGAAAGCTTGAGCCAGTGCACCCTAGCAAGCCACTGAGCACTTGCCCCTCTCCTGTGTGTGTGTATTTTCCATCCTTAGAACTTCTTTTGGTGCATGAGGAACTGTAAAGTCTAAAGGATCTCTTCTCAGGACAAGCACGTGGGGAATGCACGTGTGAGGGAAAGCAGGTGTGCAGAGGGGACAATCCTGGGACAATTAGGCACAAAGGACATATGCCACCATTACTATCCTTCCCAGGCCATCAGAGTGCACTACACGGCAGGTACTGGGCAGGCAGGTAGTGGCCTGACCATCGGAATATTTGCCCCTAGGATGATACACCTTTCTCCGTAGGCATCATAAAACGGGGAGGAGGGCTTGAGGCTGTGGAGGCTGCCTCAGTCTGAGCAGAAGCAGGATCACAGGGCTGGTGTAGCGCTGCTTAGAGACAGTTGGTGGTGGAGCCTGGCTCTTTGTAGAGCCCAGCTGGCTTCTGGGTACCCTGGCTTAGAACCCAGAGCCTGACAGACCTGTCCAGGGAGAAGTCCTTTCATCTGGGTGAGGATGAGGTGTGTGGGAGGTGGCCTGCTCATTCTCTTGCCCTCTCTGGGCAGGTAGATCTGTGCCTGAGTCCACACTACGCAATACCCCTCCTTGGAACGTGTGTGTGTGTGTGTGTGTGTACGTTTGTGTGTACGTGTGTGTGTGTGTGTGTGTGTGTGTGTGTGTACACCCATGCCATCCATGGTGGCAGTGGCTGCTGTCGCCATCATCATTGCCACGGTCTCCACCAACGTCCGTTCCCTTGAAGGGCTGTGAAGTTTGTCCTTGGAGCTTGGCGGTGTGCATGAGCGGCGCAGGGCTTCAGAGGGGTGGCCGGCTTTCCTGGGGTTCTCCTGACCGCCTGTGTTTGTTTGGTGCAGAGCAAGTCCACGGGCACCTGGAGCAGCACGAGGTGCGGTACCTGCAGTTTGCCTTCCGCTGGATGAACAACCTGTTGATGAGGGAGGTGCCGCTGCACTGTACCGTCCGTCTGTGGGACACCTACCAGGTGAGCGCTCCCGGCCTGCCCGGCCTCGGCTCGGCTGGACGGACTGGCCTTCAGCACAGTCTCTCAGCTGAAGCACGGTCCTTTTAAAAGTCCACTTCTGGTGTCTGTCATCTGACTCGATGTAGAACAAGAAAAAAGGCTTTGTCCTATCTGTCTGTCACTGGATGTGGCTGGGACCTCTTGGTGACGCATTCCAGTGCTGGCCGGGCGTGTGCCTAATAAGGCTGCTCTCTGCTGGCAGCTTGAGCCGCTCCTGTCAGAAACTCACGCTCCCGACGTGCACGCTGTGTGTTTTCAGTGACTTATTACCAGGAGTGTGTCTTGAAGAGACTGCGTTTTCTGGAACTGGCTTTTATACCCTCAGGTGTTCACATTCTCACACCTTTTCATTTGTTCCTGACGCAGCCTGTGAAGCTGCGTTGTGTGCTGGGGTTCAGACCCCAGCTTCTGTCATCAGGGCAAATGGCAAAAGCTGGGCCTGGGAGCAGATCTCTGCACCGCACTAAGCGTGGCTCCTGCATTGGCCGGTTTTCACCGCACACTACAAGATACGTGAAAGCGTTGTGTGCTCCAGGGCTGTGCAAAGGGGGCTTTGCCCTGGCAGCTTGGCCCTGTGGGTGGGGCAGGAAGGGGCGTAGCAGGAATACATCCAGGCGCTCTCTGGGGCTGTGCTCCAGCCTGGGAACCTTGTGTATGGGGTCCATGAGAGAGTGGTGAGAGGCAGGATGCCCTGCGGCAGCCACCGAGGCCTCCGGACCGAGGAGCCTCCATCTGGAGGACGGGGTGCTGCTGGGCCTCCACACCCGCCATCCCTGATGGGCTGCCTTTCCCGCGATTACCTTGGATGGGTGCCTAGCGCTTTGTTCTTGTTGCTGTTCTTGCTGTGGTTGTGCGCTGTACAGCAGGTGTGGGTGGCCCGTGGTTCTTAAGTCTCGTGTTGATTTGTAACAGCTACTGAATCCAAACTGTCCTTACATTCCCTCACCTCCCGTTTCATGACCATAGGAAGCCCTGTGATTTACTTTTTTTTTTTGCAGCTTGTACGTTCTCATGCTGATTGCTAAAGGCATTGTTACTGGTCCGTAGGCTTTGCCTTTCAAGGTACTTGGCAGCTACAGAATTTCTGGATGAAAAAAACATGAAGCCTTACCCGGCGTTATTTGGTCATGTAGCTGCCAGTCTAGTGCCATTGATCGGCTCTTCCTAGGATTACAGGAAACAAAATTTAATATCCTGTAAATGGCAAATGCTTTCCATTTTTGTGATTGGTCGGACCGTTCAAGACCCAATCCCCTTTCATTAAGCACAGAGTTCTTTGTACATGGTCCCATTATGAGTGAATTAGGTCTTAAGTCAGTTGCACTCGGAAGAGCCGGAAGATGGATGGACTTGCCTCTGTCCTGCCCCGCTTCTCCAAAATTTCTAATAGGTGGTAAAACTTGGGACACAATTAGGACCTCATCACTGAGTTAATTTTCCTGAAATTAAATTTTGTCACGAACCGACTCATTCATATGATGGACTCATTCTAATGCTGATAGCACCCTGGTCATAAGCCTTTTTACATCTTAAAAACTGGGGTATTTCTATTTTACAGGGCCAAGTAACCATGAAATTATATTGCGTCTTTGGCAATGAAAATATACCGTAATCATCGGGTAGCAGTTGGCTGGTTATTTTCTTCTAAACTGGGTTGTTTATTAGCTGGGCTTTTCAGGTTTCAGTAACTATCTCCTCACAGAGGTACCTTGAACTCCTCTTGGGACGTGTGTCAATGAAAGGTTTAGTAATAAGCCCCTAACCTGTTTTAGGCTCCAGATACACAGTGGTCCAAAAACGAATGGGCTGAATTATTCTAGGCGTGGAAATGGCATGGTTCTCACTTCTTTGGGGCCAGCAACCTAGGGACCCAGGCCTGGTGTGTCATTGGTCTTAGGCAGTCCCAGCCCCAAGGGGAGCCTCAGCCTGTGAGAACCACTTTCAAGTCCTCTGTCAAAGGCTGTGCCAGGGGCATTGCCTCCAGTCCAAACCATACTCATGGAGAGGAACTCTGGGTTTGTTCTGTTCATTGTGGGGCTGTGGCTGTACAGCTGAGTTAATGTGTTCTATATTCAGTTTTTTCACCAGTTCAACCAGGATTTCTTTAATAGCACACGGGGGTTTCATTGCGATAATTCTATAGATGTGTACAGTGTATTTTAAAGATGTTCATTCCTCTATTATATTCATTTAACCCCTTGTCTCCTCCTAAACTTACTTTAATCCTTTTTCCCCCTCCGCCAGGCAAGTTCCCCCCTTTTTTTCACTCATGCCCCATTATTACTGTGATCATTGTCCTCATGTTAGATCTAGATTTTAAATGAGAAATGTGATATTGGCTTTTAAAAATCTTGTTCAACATGGTGGTCTCTGTTTCCATCCATTTCCTGCAAATGTCATAATTTTATTTTTCTTTATGACTGAACAATACTCCATAGAGTGTATGTGTGCCTGTGTATGAGTTTATGTATGCGAATGTGTGACTGTGACTGTATATGTGTTTACATGTATGCATGTGTCTACGTATGTGTGTTGGGGTATATGTGTCTGTGTGTGCATGCACACAGCATTTTCTTTATTCATTCATGAGTTGTTGGGTACTTTGGCAGATCCCATAATTTGATTATTGTTAGTGTGGTGCTAAACATGGGCACGCAGATCTTTTCTGTTGCTTTGCATTCCTTCAGATATTTGCCCAAGACTGATATGGGGGGCTCATAAAACATGTCTGCTTCTTTGGAGCCTCCAAACTGACTACCTTGGTGGTCTCACCCGTTCTCATCCCCCAACAGAGTAGCATTTGGAATCTCAATGTGGTTTTGATTTCCTTTATGGCTAAAATTGTTGATCATTCCTTTATGTGTTTGTAAACCATTTGTGTTTCTTCTTTTAAGAATCATCTATTCAAATCATTTGCTCATTTATTAATTGAATTATTCTTTTACTGTTAAATGTGCTTAGCCTTTAATATTCTGTACATTAATCCTTTATGTGTTGAATAACAGGTGAAGATTTTTTCCCCCATATATGGGTTGTCTCTGGGTTTTGGTAATTGTTTCTTCACTGTGCAGAAACTTCTTAATTTTGTGAAGTTAAATGCATTAGTTCTAGTTCTTATTTTCTGGGCAGTTGGAGTCTTTTTCAGAAAAGAATTGCATATTATCTATATCTTAAAAATGCTTTCCTATTTTCCTGTAATAAGTTCCAGGTTTCAGATCCCACATTAAGATCTTTGATTCACTTGGAATTGATTTTAGTACAGTCTGAGAAATAGGAATCTCCTTTTAGTCCTCTGCTGGAGATAACTGGTCTTGCTCACATCTTTTGTTGAAGAGGCTGTTTTGCTCCAATGTATCTGTTTTACATCCTCATTAAAAATCACATTGGCTGTAGGTGTGTGACTTGATTTCTGGATCTTCAGTTCTGTGCCATTGGTCTTTAGGTCTGTTTTTGTGCCATTGCCAAGCTGTTTTTGTTACTATGGCTCTGTATATAAGTAAGTCTGGTTGTGGAACCTTCAATGTTGCTCTTTTTGTTTAATATTACTTTTGCTATTCGAGGTTTTCTATGTTTCCATATGAATTTTAGGACCGATTTCTCTAAATCTGTTAAGGACACCATTTAGATGGGCATTGGGACAGAGCAGGTTTTTTTTTTTTTAATTTTTATTTCTGTTTTGTCAGTTGTGGGGCTTGAACTCTGGGCCTGAGTGCTGTCCCTCAGCTCTTCAGTTCAAGGCTAATGCTCTACGACTTGAGCCATAGTGCCACTTCTGGTTTTCTGAGCGGTTTATTGGAGATAAGAGTCTCACAGACTTTTCCTGCCCAGGCTGGCTTTGAACTGCATTCCTCAGATCTCAGCCTCCTGAGTAGCTAGGATGACAGGCGTGAGCTACCTGGCTTGGGTTGGGTTTTGATGGGCATTGCATCAAGCTATGAATGCTGAGGTTCCACTCCCTTGGCCCAGCTCCTAGGTGCTGAGTCAGAGCAGCTTGCTGTGCTCTGTCTACTCAGAGGGCTGAGGTAGTAGGTGTCTGGGTTCTGGTGGAGCAGCTGCTGTTTGCTAAGATCCAAGGTGCATCAAGGGCCCCTCAGTTTTCACAGCTCAAAGGCCTTTCCATTCGGACCCTCCAGCGTGGCTCCTTCAGCCATGTCCCCAAGGTCCACATGGCTGGCACGTGCAGCGTGGCTTCTCCAGCCATGCCCCAGGCCCCACAGGTGATCTTTGGTGTTTGTCTAGGACCACCAACAGCCAGGATGGAGGTGTCCTGTGAGCTGCCGCCATTAGGAGTTTGGTGTGACCAGCAGTGAGTGTCCTCGTTGGAGTGCGTGTGGAAGGAGCGCTGGCAGGACGCGTCTCCCTGTAGGAGGGTCTCATGTAGGTGCGGTAGGTTTCGTGCCATGGTGAGCCAGAGATGACAGTGGACAGTAGACTCAGGAGCTGGGTGCTGGCTGGTGTGCAGCCTCTTCTTATTTAGTTAGTTCCGAAAGGATTGGGAATAAAAGACTAAGACAAGAAGAGCCTCTTTAGCTACCATCTGTGACCTGGGCAGGGCTGGCTGGGGGCGCAGTCCGGCAGGAAACATGTGTCCCCCAAGAGCCAGGCAGGCCTGGCCAGGTGCACAGTCCAGCAGGAAGCATGTGCCCAGGATGATGCCTCTGTTGGCCTCTGGTCTCCAGCTCCTTCCTCCCTGGATAGACACATTCACATGGAAATACCCACTGGTATTTCCCTCACCAGAGGGCCCCATTGAGGTAGGAGGCACAGGGGGCAGCTGACAGGGTCAGGGATCTATAGAAATGTCAATATGCAGCCCAGGATGTGCTCTGTTCTGGGGCTCAGTGAGCACAGCGCTGGCTCTGTGAATGCTTTTCAATGGCAAATAGATTCAGCAGAGAGCCTGTGAGCCAGCAGGTGCCTTCCCGGGAATCACTGGGACCTGGGATCCGTCCCGTCAGGCC